TGCTTTCTTGCAGGTTTGCCGAGTGGACGGTTCGATGGACTTCTCGCGTGCTCCGGATGACAGTCGTGAGTCAGTCAAGTGAGAATTCAAGCCTGCAGGAAAACCGCGAGCTCCCATGTAGGGAGCAACACACTCTTCCCCTACTATCGCCGAAGTAGCACCAACTTCTTCACATTGTTGTCCCCAGCGCCGGCTTGCGAAGTAGATGGTTTGGAGGCAACAACGTTGTGAATGGCCAACGGTCCTCCGCGCTTGTTCAGCACCTCCATGAGCGACACTGACTCACGCTGCTATCTGGTGTTCACAAGGTGTTTGTCGCGCTGGAAACGGAGCGTCTTTGTTAGTTTGTATCCCTGGTGATGTTTGTGGCTGGAGAGCACTATATAAGTGGTGCTCTTCAGGCACAATCTTCCTCAGCCTACTCAAGCTCAACTGATGAGGGGTGAATCCACCCGAAACACTGTGTATTGAGCAGGGAGTGGTGCTTTCTTGCAGGTTTGCCGAGTGGACGGTTCGATGGACTTCTCGCGTGCTCCGGATGACAGTCGTGAGTCAGTCAAGTGAGAATTCAAGCCTGCAGGAAAACCGCGAGCTCCCATGTAGGGAGCAACACACTCTTCCCCTACTATCGCCGAAGTAGCACCAACTTCTTCACATTGTTGTCCCCAGCGCCGGCTTGCGAAGTAGATGGTTTGGAGGCAACAACGTTGTGAATGGCCAACGGTCCTCCGCGCTTGTTCAGCACCTCCATGAGCGACACTGACTCACGCTGCTATCTGGTGTTCACAAGGTGTTTGTCGCGCTGGAAACGGAGCGTCTTTGTTAGTTTGTATCCCTGGTGATGTTTGTGGCTGGAGAGCACTATATAAGTGGTGCTCTTCAGGCACAATCTTCCTCAGCCTACTCAAGCTCAACTGATGAGGGGTGAATTCACCCGAAACAGTGTGTACTGAGCAGGGAGTGGTGCTTTCTTGCAGGTTTGCCGAGTGGACGGTTCGATGGACTTCTCGCGTGCTCCGGATGGCAGCCGTGAGTCAGTCAAGTGAGAATTCAAGTCTGCAGGAAAACCGCGAGCTCCCATGTAGGGAGCAACACACTCTTCCCCTACTATCGCCGAAGTAGCACCAACTTCTTCACATTGTTGTCCCCAGCGCGGGCTTGCGAATTAGATGGTTTGGAAGCAACAACGTTGTGAATGGCCAACGGTCCTCAGCGCGTGTTCAGCACCTCCATGAGCGACACTGACTCGCGCTGCTATCTGGTGTTCACGAGGTGTTTGTCGCGCTGGAAACGGAGCGTCTTTGTAAGTTTGTATCCCTGGTGATGTTTGTGCCTGGAGAGCACTCTATAAGTGGTGCTCTTCAGGCACAATCTTCCTCAGCCTACTCAAGCTCCACTGATGAGGGGTGAATTCACCCGAAACAGTGTGTACTGAGCAGGGAGTGGTGCTTTCTTGCAGGTTTGCCGAGTGGCCGGTTCGATGGACTTCTCGCGTGCTCCGGATGGCAGTCGTGAGTCAGTCAAGTGAGAATTCAAGTCGGCAGGAAAACCTCGAGCTCCCATGTAGAAACACACTCTTCCCCATTGGTATTCCTGTGGCAACAAACCCAGGAGGGGGGGGGGGGGGCAGTCTTCTATTCAGTCGGAAGTCAACAGACACACACACACACACCATTTGACCATTTGACGCCCATAACCGGAGGCGATAACAATGTTAGCGATGCTACAGCAGAAGCCATGGCAGCTTGTGCTGGGATTGCACCATTCAACAGCTTGCAAGGATGAAGAATTGACCGCCACTATTCAGCCTGGTCTACACCACACCACGCTTTTTCTGGCCAGTGAATCCCGACTTTTTGGTATTTTTCATTTTTATTTTTTCACGCACACACATCACACCACATACTCCGGCATGCACTGGCTGTTGGTAACCACCCGGCCAGGAGAATGAAAGAAAGTCAGGAGGAGTCTGAGAAAGAGAAGAAAGACGTGTGTGACCATAATCGTCGGGAATCGAACACGCAACCTATCGATCGGAAATCGCTGCACATACCACTGCACCATATGACACACCTCAGACCTCAGACATAGCAACTTGTGCTGGGATTACACCATTCAACAGCTTGCAAGGCTGATGAATTGACCGCCACTATTCTTAGCCTGGTATCCACCACACAGCTGTTTGGAGTGACTTTTTCTGGCCAGTGAATCCCTATTTTTCATTTTTCCATTTTTTTCTACACACACACACCACACCACATACTCCAGCATACACTGGCTGTTGGTAACCACCCAGGAGAATGAAAGAAAAGTCAGGAAGAGTATGAGAAAGAGAAGAAAGACGTGTGTGACCACAATCGTCGGGAATCGAACCCGCAACCTATCGATTGGAAATCGCTGCACATACCACTGCACCATATGGGACACACACACACACACACACCACACCACACACACACACACACACACACACACACACACACACACACACACACACACACACACACACACATGCTCACACACACATGCTCACACACACACACACTCTCTCTCTCTCTCTCTCTCTCTCTCTCTCTCTCTCTCTCTCTCTCTCTCTCTCTCTCTCTCACACACACCCACACCCACACCCTCACCCACACACTCTCATGTACCCACATGTACACCCTCATTATTTCATACTCACATCAAACCACATATTGCGTCATTATCCACACTGGTATCTGCTATGTAACACATACTACCCAACCCTCTGGCGTGACACAACTACCACTGAAACCTACTGAATTTCTGCGCCGGTTCTACATGTATCTTCCATCTTGGTTGTAGCCTCAGCCATGACACTTGCACTCCTATCAATCACAGTGTACTCCAGCGCTGATGATATCTCCTCAAGCTTCGTGGTTGTAGCACTGCCTTAGCCTACATTTAAATACAATTACCCTAACGTTATAATAGCATTGTTATGTTTTATCGTCTGATGAGTGTTTTTGAACACGAAACTCGGAGTAACGAGAAAGCTTTTTTTGGTCTCTGTTGTTCTGCCTTGTGTAGACAGTAGTACGCTCTAAGGGTATTGAGCACTATTGGCAGCAAGGACAACGAGCCACTCCCGTCCCACACAGATCCCATCTACACACGTCTTGGCCTCGTCCCCATCATCCAAAACGCCCATTGTAAACTCCGCCTCCTCATGCTTCGTATCCACACCGCCAGAATTAGCAATCTCCTGTCCAAGCGCCTATGTTGCCAGACTGAAGGCGTCACTCGGATCAATGATCCAAATGCGTATGTTGTTCCTGCCACCAGGCGAGTCTCTGGTGACCGTCGGCCGCTCGCTTCTGCTGTTAGATCATGGAACGCCCTGCCCCAACTTAACAACTACCTTTGGAGTGAAAACCTGTCAGTGCCTTTTGTTTTTGTTTTGTGTTTGTATTCTAGGTTTTGCCTGGTCCCATAGCTCAGATGGCTAGAGCATTGCTCATGACAAGCAAAGTCCGGGTTCGAGTCCTGGTGGGGCTTTGAAATTTTATTCTCTTTTCAGGCAGTTCACTTCAAAATTCGAAGGATGAGTCGGGAAATTACCGGAAGTGAACTGCCTGAAAAGAGAAAAAAATGAGCTACGGTATGCAATGGACCAGGCCAAACCTTGAAAGCGCTAACAAGTTTTTCACTCCAAAGGCAGCGTGCCACACATACTGATGGCACTTGGGTCTTTTAAGTTCTACTGTAAAAGCCATTATTCTAACGAGGTGCATATAATATAACGATTTCCTAAAATCGACAGGTTTACGTGTACCAAAGGTAACGATTCTCACTCATTCTCAACGCTCAATAGGACAGTATAATTATGTATAGATTTCTGTATAACGATTTCTATTTTAACGACAGATTTCTCCTCGTTAACTCGTTAGAGTTAGCACTTCGTTATAAATATGGCTTTTACAGTACTCTTTTTCCCTCACCCAGGGACCAGCCACGGTCGATTCTGGAATGTACTACCAGAGGTGAAAGAAAGTGATTACAATTTAATTATAGGACTGGGAGAACTTCAAAATTCAAAGGATCAGTAGGGGAAGTGAACTGCCTGAAAAGAGAACAAATGCCCGACCTACCAGGACTCGAAACCAGGACCTTGCTTGTCATGAGCAATGCTCTAACCATCTGAGCTATGGTACATGTACCAGGCAAAACCTGCACAGCCACGGGCTGTACGCATGTACACAAGATACAGTAGCATGCCCACACACACAGCAACAGAGGATAGGCAGACCACACAACAGGAGAGCAAGACTAAACTGATTGATACTGATCTATTCTGACGATTCGACGATTCTCTTCTTCAGAATGACAATGCAAAAAATAATAATAATACAGTCAGACCTCGCTTATCCGGTCCTCGTTTATCCGGATCCCTCGCCATCCTGAAGAAAATCGTTGGTTACCGATTTACAGCATATGCCATGTACACATACAGTATGCGTGTTCAATTATCCGGTTCCCTCGCCTATCCGGATATTTTTGTGGAAAACGGATGTGTGCGGTTATGCGAGGTCTGACTGTAATGATAATTATGATGAAGAAAGGAAAAGGAAACTCACCATCCGAGTTTAAATAATGATAATGCAAGAAGATAATCGTCGAAACGTTAAAAAAATGATATATTAAATCATTATCAATCAGTGCAGTCTTGCTCCTGTTGCGTGGTCTGCCTATCCTTCGTTACAAATTGTGAATCCCTTGGCTGGACCCGTGCTGGTGTGTCACCGTGTGGATACCAAGCTTTTGCCGAGACAGAAAGACAGACGGACGGACATACACACCACCCACCACCCCCCCCCCCACACACACATACACACAGACGGAAACACCCACCCACACCTCCACACACACACACACACACACACACACACACACACACACACACACACACACACACACACACACACACACGCATACACATGCACACAGACGGACACACACACTAAAGGTGTGTGCAAAAATACCAGTGCAGGCGGGCACACCGTGTTTAAGAGATTTCAGAAAACTGTTCACGTCAAACCAGTGACAGTGATGTGCTAGGAAGTAGAGGCAAAATTTGGCCTTGAAAATCTGAGAAACTTTCACATTTGAAAATGATCTAAACTGATCTAAAAATAAGAAAAAAAGGTAAGGAATCATCATACCAAGCACTATCTAAAAAGCACAAACGTCGATGTGCCTAAAATAATTCATAGGCCAATAAGACTGCAGTAGGTTGCCGTGACTACTCGGAAGACGCATTCGGAATTCACGTGCAGAGTTGAAACCGATCCGAATAGAGGCAGGAGTAGGAGAGAGATATTGGAGAGACGCCATTGGTGGCAGCGGCGCAGTCTTCATGCTACCCTGGCACAGTTGAAGAGAGCCACGTGGGCAGAACCGGACTAATGTCCATGGGCAAGAGATTGCTTAGCAAAACGGCCGAGGAAAGGCATACACCATAGGCTGTGATGCGAAGTGCTGTTCCCAGTATGAGATCGTCCAGTATAAGCAAGCATACTGTGGGAACAGCCGTGAGCAACAGAGCATCATCATGCAGGACTTCAACAGTGAGGACACGGCGGTATGTACATGTACATGAACACACACAGGCGGTCGCGCGCACACACTCGCGCGCACTCACACGTTATATCCATGGTCTACATGGGCGGTTGAGCGTCGAAACCAGCCACCACCTGCTGGAAGGCGAGCAGAAGAGAGCTGCCGTTGCCATGCACGGTGAACCTGGTCAAGCAACGCAGAACGCAGAATGCAAAAGAAGAAAAACAAGAAGTCAAAACACAAGCAGCACACGGAGCAATAAATGCATTTTAAAACATGCCACGCCAAAAACTGATACACCATAGCTCAGTGGTTATATTATTAGAGCATCGCTGGCCTCAAGCCTCAAGTGAAGGTCCCTGGTTCGAGTCCTGATGATGATAGTTAATTTTTCCTTCAGACTTTTCCCTTTTTCATTCCCTCAACTTTAATGAATGCCAAAAACTGATTTTGGTGATATTCTACAAGTGGCTCGAATGACAAAACAATAGATGATATGCCAAATAATGCGCAACTAGACTTGGAAGGGCATTGGATGCTCAACCAAGCCAGGGCGAGGAAACCTAATGCACCTGACAACCTGTAATAAGCACAGGGGCGTCGGAAGGTATTTTAGTGTGGTACGGTCAGCCATCTGAGGTGCAATTTACTCGTGGGGGAGTGGTGGCTGAGCCGAAAATTTTGAAAATCTAAGATCATCAGTGTATTTTATCAACAAGAGTCCATACTCCCCAGAGTGCACAACTTCACTTATCAGATCTGGGACGGCGAAATCCGTGTTGCACGTCATAGTATGACATCATGAGTAGGGGAAGTGTGGACCGTGCACGCGTGGTGGACCGCGTCGATGGAATGACGCAAGTCCGACCCAAAAAATGACATACATCACGGCTTACGCCGTCCCGCAACCCCATCCCAGTTGCGCACTCTGAGGGTGGGTTGTGTACTCTTGATTTTATTGATTCACGGGGTACCTGGGGCAAAAAGTGGTACGGTCAATACCGTAGTGACCGTACCGTGTCCGACGCCCCTGAAGCGTATCAAATGTTCTGCCGCAAACTACCCTGTGAATAACACTACATTCAGGTCTTTCAGTTCTTGGCATTCTCCCTCTGCACGACGAACACATCAACACAGCTGTGCTGGCTGGGTTCACAAGGCGTTGTGTGGCATGCGTACCGTAGATCGACGTCGCAACAAATCACTCGCACGTGCAGTCAGCACTGCACAAGGGCTTGACCTCAATTAATTCAACGACGAATATACTCATGAAGCTCAAGTCCGCCATGACTTCAGGCTGTACGCCGGGGCAATTTTGAGCACTTTCAATTCACTTTTTCATCCCCTCCCAACCATTGTAGAGAAAAAAACGAAGATCAGGAGCCAAACAGAGAAAAAACGGCGAGAACTCCCCTTTAATTAACGACAGGGACCTAAAGATGTGATGCGACTTATTTGTGGGAGGAGACTTGTAATCGTGGAAACACGGCAGTATTAGTAGTACAGCAGTGGCAGAAGGAAGAAACAATTTGAAGTTCACTTGCTTGACCTGCAGCAGACCCAGGGTTCTTGCCTCACAGCTCTTGTGGCTATATGCGATATGCTTACTTGACTGTTTTTACACTGATGATGGGCCATGCTTGAAAATTTGGTGAACATTTCAAGTGACGTATGCAGCAACGAGACCGTGTTTCGAGTGTTTGAGTTGAGGCTCCCTAATATGCTCACCTGTTGACGTACAAATATAAAACAAACAAGAAGAGGACGGAAAAAACCTCTTTTTTACGTCCTCTTATTGTTTGAACTAGCTCTGCCTCTCGGTATTGAGCACTCTCTTGGACAGCCTGGAACCTTTCTGTTTTGACATACAAATATAATGTACATGGTCATATTTGTAGATAGTGGAGCAAGGCTAAACGCTACTACAGTACTAGTAGGGTACGATCTGGCTTGGCGGCATCCAAACACTCTCAGTGTACTGTGTACATCCTTCTGTTGTCATACAGTCAAGTCGAGTCACACATGTCATGAAACTGTGGAAGTGTGTACGTGTGTGTGTGTGTGTGTACGTGTGTGTGTGTGTGAAAACACGCGGCCCCGCCATGGACCCAAGCGTCGTTGGAGAGATGTGGCAGCTTCAGACCTGCGTGCGACTGGTAGCCCGGAGGCGCAATGGTACCACTTTGCTCAGGACCGGGACTGGCGCGAGCTTTGTCGTCGGAAGCCACCAAGCCAGCCCAACCAAGAGTGTTCGTCTGTGTCTGCGACTTTCCCCGTCCGAATGATTTATCCCGTCACAAGAACTACTGCCTCGCCTAATCGATGGGCTTCCCAATGGCCCAACGGGTGTGTGTGTGTGTGTGTGTGTGTGTGTGTGTGTGTGTGCACGGATGTGGGCGAACCACTCAACTCACTGAGTATCGGCTGGTACGAGGAAACTGTCACCCTTCTTCAGCGTTCTCTTAGGGGCTCTCTCCAAACACAGCTGAGTCTCTCCCTCCTGCAACAAAAATCGAAACACAGGCACAGACACTCTACCGAGAAGCTTCCACTACAATTATAGTTGCTTCACACCCACTGTGGTAGGTTGAGCACATAGACAAGACAAACACAACATGCCCTCTCGAGCTCCGCAGCAACGCATGCCTGAGCTACATGAGGAAAGCCTAATACCTATAGTAATCCCGGTGCTGCCCAGCCGTAAGACGACGACGCACTCATGGGCCAGCCCTTGTTTTCGTTTGTGTGAACTTGTGAGTGTTTTCATGATAGTAAATCATACAACCTGAGTTGTTAGCATTCTGGGAGACAGAAATGAAATCACACTCAAGAAAAGAACGAGCTTCAGCTCCTAGCAAGCAATATTTCCTTCGATGTGTATGAGGATACGCATTTTACCATGTTGTTTTTGGCTACCTTTTTCTGCGCTGTCTCTATCTCATCTCTGCTGCGTACAGTTTATTGTTCTTGCTCATTTTCTCTTTGCCTGTGCCATACTCGTCGTGAAAACAACCATGCACGAGCTATCAGCATGTCGGAAGCTGGACTCAGTACTATTCTTGAGATGTGGAAAGCTTAATTAAAGACCGGACACTTTCATGGTTGAACAATGATGGCTTACCGCTCGTGACAGGTGTCACAAAGTGCTGTCGTACGACTACACCTCAGGCAACGAAAACGTTTTAGAAAAAAAGGACACTTAACCATAGCCAATGGTGTGTGTGTGCGTGTGTGTGTATGTGTGTGCGTACGTGTGTGTGTGTGTGTGTGCGTATGTGTGTGTGTGTGTGTGTGTGTGTGTGTGTGTGTGTGTGTGTGTGCGTGTGCGTATGTGTGTGCGCGTGTGTGTGGTGTGTGTGTGTGTGTCCCATATGGTGCAGTGGTATGTGCAGCGATTTCCGATCGATAGGTTGCGGGTTCGATTCCCGACGATTATGGTCACACACGTCTTTCTTCTCTTTCTCAGACTCCTCCTGACTTTCTTTCATTCTCCTGGGTGGTTAGTACTGGTTACCAACAGCCAGTGCATGCCAGAGTATGTGGTGTGATGTGTGTGTGTGTGTGAAAAAAAATGAAAAAGACCAAAAAGAAAAAGTAGGGATTCACTGGCCAGAAAAAGCCACTTCATAGCTGTGTGGTGTAGACCAGGCTGAATAGTGGCGGTCAATTCTCCAGCCTTGCAAGCTGTTGAATGGTGCAATCCCAGCACAAGCCGCTATGGCTTCTGATGTAGCATCGCTATTATCGCCTCCGGCGATGGGCGTCCAATGGTCCAATGGTGTGTGCACGTGTTGAATGTGCAACTCCCAATACTCATCGCCTTACATTTATATCGTCTTATACTTAGGGTGCGTTCTTAAATCCTCTCGGAAAAGTTGGAGACTCTCCGAAAAGTTCGAGAGCCGTTCTTATATCCTCTCCGACTTTTAGGAGGCTCTCCAAAGCTCTCCAAGCTTCAGAGGTGGTTGAAACTTGGAGATTCGCGGTTTGGGATCAGCGCATGCGAACTACGACTAAAAGCCACGTGTTCATCATGAGTGTACGCACACGTGCATACTACATTCGTGGCACTCAAGATCGCGGCCCCTTTGGCGCTTCATTTTGCTTGACATGTGCAAAATATCTCCGAATTCTTCGAGACCCGTTCTTGAATAATCCCAGTTTCTTCAATTTCTCTTTTCTTCTTCTTCTAGAAGCTAGAGAATATAAGAACGCACCCTAAGTACCGTAACTGTTCAGATTGTCTAAAATAGCGAATGACAATGCCGCTTTCTAAATTATGTATTGCTGTCGAAACAATTATTCGCCATAAAACGGGAGGTTTCCAGAGGCAATAAAGTGAGTCTACTCTTCTCCCTTCCACCTGATACAGACTACTTGTTGAGCGCTGGATCAGGTGAGAATCCTATCTGCTTGCTAGTCTACGGTATCGGTTGACGACCTGGTGCTACTAGATTACTAGATTGATCACCGGCCATGACACAATGTCATGTATTCCACCTGACAAGACGGCATCGAGAGCACAGTAAAACCTGTCAAGGTGACCAACTGTCCTAGAGGACCACTACAACTTCGACCAAGGGGTGTTATTTCCAGTCATGTGACCCTGGATAAGAAGACCATATGTACATGGGACCATATTTCGAATGTCCCTCGAGCGTGAAGCATGGATACAGTGATTGGGAATTTCGGTCTTTGACCACTTTGGTGGGTCTGATCTCCTCACCTCCCACCGCATTAGGAGCTGCATCTGCGCCTTGATCCTTGCAGGGTGGTGGCGTTCCTACGGATGCGGAAAACTCGGCCTCTAGCCGAGTCTGACGCGAACCGTGAATTTTGATTTGAGTGTTCGGCTTAGACAGGTTTCACTGTAGTTGGAAAGTGTTGCTTGTAAGCAGCCTGAAGTTTAGGGTTCACGGATTGGCATGCTAGCGTCGCCAGCTACATCATGCACGTGACAGGCGCGTGCATATACTGTCCCACACAATCGGTCAGTGCTCAAATCGCATTTTCCCATCAATATCACTCACTTTCAACTCTACGGGATTCATTACGGTTGGCTCAAACTGCCTGAATTTTTGAATCCACACGCACGAAAGACGTTCCAAGACTTCCACCGTTCGTATTTTTTCAAACGAGTTCCGCGTTTTCCAGTAACTTTGGCCAAAGTTCGGCTAAAAAAACAGGGGGAGCCGTTGCGTGTCCGTAAAATACTGAACGGTAGAAAGATAGCCAAGGTCGAGAGCAAAACAACAAGCCATTATTTGTCAAAATCGAACAAGAAACGGCTCAGCGCATCTATTTTCCGTGCACGCGCGCGCGTACTTTGGCCGACAAGGTGTGGAGAATTTCTGAAGAAGAAGAATAACAAGAGCAGCAGCGCTCGGAACAGCCGTGCTGGATACTTCCAATCCCGACGATGGAGCGTGTTGGCTGTCGTGAGCTGCTGAAACGACCATGACATTTCTTTTTCTTTGTATACCCTACATATCTTGACGTGCCCTAGCTCAGTTTCGGCCTCTTTACAGGAAGAATATTTTCTTCCATGGCATCAGCGGCCAAACAGCAAGAAGAGCAACAGATCGAGATTTGCAGGGCAAACAAAGGATGCGTGCAGCTACATCTAGTCAGGTTCGATGCAGCTGCGCTTTGCCAGAACCTCAGCATGCAGATAAGAAAAGACGACAGAGTGTCTCAGATGGAACTGGATCTTTCGCCAAGACCGCCACTGCCGCCATCATCAAGTCCAGGTCAGTCAGAAAAGTGCAAAGCCCGAGTGAAGTGAAGCCACTGAAGCCAAGGAAAAATTCAAAAAGTACGCTCTCCGGCTAGACTTCGAGTCGATATTTTTTTACTTCGATAGGCGCTGTCGCGGCCTGTAGTGCGCGTCCATAATCCAAAATGGAGGCGCACGTGACGGGTGCTTTTAGTGGCAAGCCGTGAACCCTAAAGTTTGTTCATTTCTTGAGCGTGACCTCAAGCGTCGTTCGTTTTTCTGGCCAGTGAAGATGCTCATGCAGTAACCTACCCATTGCCAGAGCCATGTTTCCCAGCCAGACATCGTCTTGGTCGTGTTGCCAAACGCGGTCACCTACAGTCGCCATCGGCACAACACAAAAGACGATAGGCATATCGGTCAGTTCAAATGCGGGCACCAAGCATAGTTTTGAAGTATCAGACGGTACCAAGACACCACCCATCATGTACAATACTGCTCAGTGAAATCCAGTCTCGTCACTTAAGTACGCGCCGGGCATTTCGCAGCCCTAGACCCTCGAACACTGGGCTGCGAAAAGGTGCACGGCGCCAACTTGACTCTCGCGACTGGATTTCATTTGAGCAGCACTGTACCACGTGGAACTGCTCAGATTTGTCACGCAATGAAAGTCAAGAGAGTGACATACCGGGTAATAGCTAATGCGGAGGATTACAAGCATCTACAAAGTTCATACCCGATGCAGCCATGTCACCACCGGTGTGGATTGCAGGAAGAGAGAAAGATTGAAAACTAGTTGGAGGAATGAGCTCAAAGTAACACGCTTTTCTACTTGTATGGTGGTGACAGCATAGTTTCTGATTGTACAGTCAACTTCGCTAATAACGACTGCGGATATAACGACAATTCGCGAATAACGACAGAATGTCCATGCCCAGAGCAAAGTCCCATCCAACTGTATTACATAATGAGACTTCGGGTATAACGACACTTCGCGAATAAGGACACTTTTCTGATGCCCCGCCGAGTGTCGTTATAAGCGAAGTTAACTATAGTACCATAGTAAGTGTGAATAAAGAGGTTTCCTGCCAAGCCTGCGGTGCAAACCACTCCACTCCATCAGGTAAGGATTGAGCACTAGTGACAGTTCAAGATACAATGTCATACTGAAATCACATAGCAAGTGCAGCAACACATGCACTCCCCCTCCCCATCTCTTGCACACGGACTGGACAATATGTTCCAAGCCACAATGAATACTAATCCCATGCCTCTACAAAAGGTGACAGAACTACAACTCTGGGCATACCTCATACAACTTACTTTATTGTCCATTCCTTCAAACACGCTGATGCTGCCGTCTTCCTTTAGCTTGTCAGCATTGTCGTCCAGGAACTGCAAGGATTCGAAAGAGCAGAATTGTACGTTGATCAACTCCCTCAAACTTATGACTGCTGACTGACAACCTACATAGTATTACTAGGACCTATAACCCACACTAAGAAGAGGAGGAAGATAGTGATGTGACTCGATGAACCCCAGGCAGCAGTGCGAGCCAGTGCTGTCCATACGCGTAGAATGGTGAGACCAGATGCTGCTGACTACTGCACACATACAAGCACACAACACTGTCACGTACAACATCTCTAGTTCCATGCCCATGCGAGTATGTTAGTACCGGCAAAGTCAGACAACAGATCACTGTGCTCATCAGGACCAGAATCAGGGACCTTCACTGCAGGCCAGTAATGCTGTTAATTTATTAATACTAAGAACTGATGTAATGCCCTGCAGAAGCTAGAGGGAGGACTTACCTGCTGGAAAGAAAACGGCTCCATGACTTTCTCCTTCCTCAGCTCGATCACATCTTCATACGGGCCTAAACGAAAACGGAATACGACAAAACAAAGGGCAAGTGCAATGAGAATTGAGCAGACACACGCTAGATGAGAAAATGGCCACAAGGTCCTGGACCCTAGAGTGCACTGGGTTCTAACCACCTGTCTGTGCGTGTGTACACGGGGCAATGATACCAGTTGATACATGCCAGAAAGGCGCAGCCGTAACGGTATATATATCAGAGCCGGTACTGCAAGTGTGCGCACTCGCAGGTAGGCCAAGCAGGATGTATTGCACACAACAGGGGTATTGCACTTCTAGCTGCAGCCATGCAGCCATGCACATAGTACAACCCGTGTCAAGGCCCAAGCTCTGAAAGGGATATTAGTGACCGGGGATATTTTGGCTCCATGCTATTAGCTTGAGTTTGAGTTCACATCGCTCTGGTCCGGGAATGCTTCCACATCCAGAAGTTTCCGCACCAAGCATTCGCCCTGAACGCAAACACTGAGCCGTGAGCGGTACGAGCGATATCGCAAAATAGTTGAAAATACCCTGCATGCCATGTGGCGACGCAGCGTATCACCGAATACTGCCCGCACTCGCTGGCGTGCATAAACTGTAGTACATGACAACAAAGCATGACCCAGGCTATAGCGTCCTTGAACACTCACATCTACTGCTTGCATGCATCTCTCCTATATGAACTAGAAGCAAGTCAGTTTTCTTTTCTTTCCAAAAGCTTGCTCTCTTACCATCGACGGGCTTGCCTGTTTTGTGAGCTTCCGAAGCAAAATACCTATGTCATAATAAGAGACAAAAAACATAAGGAGGTTAGTACTTCTTTAGGCAAAAAACAGCATTTTCCCACTGCTGAGGCAAATAGGAAACTAGGACTGAGTCGGGTAGCATTTTCTTCGGGTATCGGGTTCGGGTAGTTTTCCACGGGTAGCACGAGTACCCGAGGGGGTAATGTTTCCATGGTAAAAACCACAAAGCACCCCTTCCCTTACACACTGGGTAGACATGCAGAGTATTACATGAATTCGCACACGTGCACTGTACATGATGTCATCTGCCACTTTGGGTTTCCGGTACTATTCTGTACCCATCTACCCGAGGTCCTCATGGGTAGCACGGGTACCCGACTACCCGTGCACACCACTATAGGAAACAGCGGCAAACACATCTCTGCGGATCACACCGTACTTGCGTGCTGGTGGTTGCTGCAGCGTGTTTGGGCCGGCACTATGGAAACAGTTCAACCAGTTCAAATGCCTGTACAGTCCATTCACAAATATCAATTTGATTTCTGGACTTCCATTTTTGAAGGAATCAGTGGAACTGCCTCGAAGGAGAATGCTGTGAAGCATTCGAAGTCGGATTTTGCACTCAGGATGTTAAACATGAAACGAGCCCCGGTAAAACTGCAGTGCAAATTTTCAAGTCAACTTCGCTTGGAAAAGCAATAGCAGCTGCGTCCATTGTCCTTTTCCGCACAAAATTCTGCGATTAATATTGCACCGGGTGATAATACTAAAAAGCAAAACTGCTAATCCATACTGGTAGTCGCTGGCCAATTATGAAATTGTGTAGCAGTGACTGCTATCCTACCTAAAATGTTGAGCACCTAGAATTTCTGAAATACCCCCCCCCCCCCCCCCCCCCTATGTGTAGCATACAACCATTGGCACCACTGTAGCATACCTTTTGATGATGGGTGGAAGGTCCTTCTCCAGGTTTTTCAGGTGGAACATCTCCTGGTAGAGAATCTCTGTGGATCCATCAACATAGTACCTGAGGACATATGGGATGACAGTAGCACAAGCAAAGGAAACATGTGATGGTAGCTACATACAGGCTAACTTATTCAACGATGCATACGAGGGGGGGGGGGGGGTAGTAAGTTTTTACTGCACACTGTGACAGCAGCTGTTCCCTTGCCACATCGGTCAGGATAAATCCCATTGAGTCGTTCATTTTAAAAGCGACCGAAAGACTGTCTCCGTCGAGGTCGTTGCAGATCACTCAATTCATTCTATTAAAAAACAGATCCAGACAATACAGGTATTCATAACATAACATGAGTCCAAATGTGCATACCTCAAGCAGTCGTCTTCCTCAGCAATACGGTGTCGCTCAATGACCAAGCCGATGGTGTCCGCATTGCGCTGCGGTGAGTGTGGAATACGTGAGGGTAGGCAGAACAGCTGGGAAGGGACGGTGAGAAATGGGGAGTGTGTGTGAGGATGGGTGGAGAGAGAGAGAGAGAGAGAGAGAGAGAGAGAGAGAGAGAGAGAGAGAGAGAGAGAGAGAGAGAGAGAGAGAGAGAGAGAGAGAGAGAGAGAGAGAGAGAGAGAGAGAGAGAGAGAGAGAGAGAGAGAGAGAGAGAGAGAGAGAGAGGGAGAGACAGACAGAAAGACCGACGGACACAGATGAACAAACGGACAGACAAATAAAATGGCTATGCTGCATACATAAAAGGGATAGAACAAACCACTCTTGCCGTTGTTGATCAGCAAAAATAAGTAACAACGCAAACTCCACAAATTGTACGGTTTTGCACTTAGATATTTGCCATGTTAAGGATTATTTGATCATCCTGAAGCACGACATTGAGCCACCTCTTTTCTGAGGTATTCTCAGTATTCAGTAAGTTCTACACAGAATTTCAAGAGGAGTAGTTGGTACGCAGTGTCCAATGCGAAATTGGTCAGACGGTATAAATCCTGCTGAATAGAATATGGGGTAATTTGAACATTCGAAATCTTTCTTAGGACGGACCTTTAGTGACGTGCCTACTAAGCTGCTGTTGTTGGTTTTAACCAAGTACTTACTTATAATGACAAGAGTCCATAACGGAGAGGGGGTAACTGTGATTTCTATTCTATGGGCAAAACGCGCAGTGCGTTGCCTACATTACATCATGCAGCTACAATCCACGCATTCGGTCACTGTGGAAAATCAAACACCACACTTTCCCTATGCTTTGAACTGTCCTACGGAACAACTTCTGGAGTCAGTGCACAAAAAACTCGGAGATCGGGTGGCTACTCGAATGAATCAGGCAATATGGATGTGCTGCTGGCATAAGAGATTGTGAGTGATGCAGGCAGGTTAGGTAATGTGGACAGCTCTCCGCCGCGCACTGACCCGTGGGCACAGCTGCGTACTGCTGGTTATGGACTCTTGATAGCCACATTCATCCTATCAGACGTTTCGGTGTGGATAAAAATAGACCTTAATGTCGCGTATTAAAGCCGTCTTATTCCTGTAGAAGCCGATGTCAGTACTATAGTGCGTTTCAAAAGTATAGACCTCTAGACTTTTTTGAATAATTCAAATTTGGTTTGAGCTTTTTGAGAAATTTCTTCGGAATATTACTCAGGCAGCTCACGCAATTTTTCTCATATAAATTTCTAAGCGATTGGATAACAGACGCCCAATTTCGAAAATTTTATGCACAAAGTGATCACAGATTTTATGTGGTATAGATGCTGTCCTAACGGTTTTTTGAAACCAGAGGTCTGGACTTTTGAAATGCACTATAGGCTTCTACTCAGGTCAGGCTTCTATCCAAACCAAGTATTCCTATGTTTGTCAACACAAAACCAGGCATATTTGCTGCCAGTGCATCTTGAAAACAAGGCCTGTATTCAAAAACAGGGTTCTACACGAGACAATACGGATAATACGAGACAATACGGACAATACAAAACAGTGATGGCGGCAGTGACTGTGGCACAAAGTGCAATGCTGCTATCCTTACCTCTCCTTCGTTGATGACAATGTCCTTGGGATCAGTGCCATGCTCCATGATCTTGAGCACCATGGAGCCCTTGACCATGTAGAAGAGCTGCTCGCGGACACACGAGAAACAACAAGACCTAAGGAATCAGAGACAGATAGTAATCGCACTTCTCATTTCTCAGAGACTAAAGGTGGACAATAGACATTGAGTGTCACTAGAACAACAAGCATATCTCACAGGTTGACGAAGACTCCCCCCCCCCCGTTCAACTCTACAAATCCATTGGCTATCAGATGCGAGGAGCCAATGCAACTTTTTGAGCTCAGTCTGAAGACTGTACTAAATGTACACCAGCTACACGTAGAGTAAGTACTGAAACTCTGTAGCTTTTCCAAAAGGTGCGAGAATGTGACACACACACACACACACACACACACACACACACACACACACACACACACACACACACACAACGCACACCCACGCGCGCGCGCACACACCTCACCTCACCTCAGACCTGCCCATCGCTGAAGCAATGATAGCGAACAGCTATATTAGAAATAGCAACTTGTGCAACTTGTGCTGGGATTACACACACACACACATATACATGCATGCCCACATGCGGGCGTGCACACACACACACACACACACACTCACACACATGCCCCCCCCCCCCCCCCACACACACACACCACACACACACATGCACACACTCGAACAAACAGCACCCCTCACCTCTTCTCCGCACTCAATGTGATAGTCCTTACGCTGGTTGGGACCACCTACAAACATGATCTTCAGCCATCCATTATTCCTGCACACGACCAGGAAAACAAACGTTCAATACTGCACTGGGCAAGAGACTACCCAGGCAAGCACCAAACCAAATGCACGTCACATCTAGTGAAACTCAGCACCCGCTTAAGAGACTGCAAAGGTAGCCGTTACTCTGCATGTATTATCAGCGTGAAAGCAGCTTAGTCTCTACTCCCCGTGCTGCTGTGCGCCAGCCTCATTCGTTTAGGCACAGGCAAATCGAGGGTCACTCAGCACACGCAGCACATCAGAGAGTTGTAGCGTCTTTAAGGAGATGATGCTGGTGACTATAACGTGAAAAGGTGTAGGTTTTTTTTAGGCATGGTCGCATACAGCATATTCGGTCTGGCATGCGATTGGGATCAGCAAGCCACGATTGTGAGCTGCATGGACCACAGATCATTCAGAACGTTTAAACCAGGTGCTGAAACGCACATCGTTTCGGGTACCTTGATCTCGCTACGCCTCCCCGTTGGACATGCACACGATCGTAGCCATGCGCGTACGAAAAGCATCATTGCGGTGTGAACCTAGAATCAGTGCCAAGTGTTTTATATTTAAAAAAAAAAAATTTCGACAAGAAAATTGAGGGTTCGTCAGCTATAGTGATTCTGCGATTACCTCATTTGAGATGCTTTGTCTGGAGGGGAATCAGTGGCATGAGTGCCGGTTTTCCACTCTCTTATCTCAATGTAAACTAGCACTGTCTGCTACTCTATAGCACTGGTTTCCACTTCACACAAAGCATATGCGATTGACCACCATAAGCTGCTCATTCGCATCACCCCTTCACTGTTGTTGTTGTTGTTGTTGTTGTAGAAGTTTATTTAACGTCGCACTATAGCTCACTCTCCGTGGACTTGTGTGAAATTGTAATGTTGGGCAAAAATTCGTTTGAAAATTCTGTCCAAACTACCATGGTTTGAAGATACCAAAAAAATATTTGCCAGTAAAAACAGTACACGTACATGACTTTGTTGCATACGGGTGGCTTGAAGTTGTCCTTGTTCTCCTCGAGCCACGATGTCACATTGAGAACACCATCATCTGCCTTCTTTGCTCCGCTTTCGTCACCACAGGTAGAGCAACGCTTCGTAGCTCCATTGTCAGCCATTGTGTCAAAGGTCGTTCGCGAATAATGATTTCTGAGCAGCGCGACTCAATGTAATAGGCACAATGTTTCTGTATTGGTAATTGAAAACAATTATTGGTAGATCTGTGGCTGCGAACTTAGCGAAGTAACACCAAGAGTACCACCAACTGTGACCAAGACAAGATACGAAGAGGAGACCAAACAGGAATACAATCGTGCATGATTGTTCGATCGAACAATCGAGTCATACATCATTACATGCAGCTCGCGCGCTCTCTGTCAAAGAATAAAAACAGGATGCGTGTGCACGTGCACGAGCTAGCTGAAATCGTACCTGCTGACGTCATGACCTGCTCTTTACATAGTCATTAGATTAGTACATAAAACGTGAGCACGTGATGGGAGGGGAGGGCGGGGGGGGGGGGGGGGGGGAGGGGTGCTTCAAGAGGGGCTCAAGTCGAAACCGTCGAGATCAAAGACCGTCACAAAAGAGTCAAGCTACAGTTGTAGTTGGCCAAGGACTGGGCGCTGGCTTGACGGTTCGAGAAGGAAGCGCATGTACCGTAGAATCTCGCCAGAGCGCCCCTACCTCCTCGACGCTTCAGGTGGGGAGGGGCGGATGGGCGAGTCCTACTTGCCGCATTCAGTGCTACATGAAAATGTACTCACCCTACGAAAACTGTTCGTGCATCTCGTACACCGGACCCGTCAAAACTCAAGGGTTTGTGCGATCCGTGGTCAAGAGGGTGGGCACTGTTGCGTACATTTCCAACGGGGTCGAGCATGCGTCTGCAGTACAGTACGGCATCTCAGACTGTGAAAGAGTCATACGAGGATACAATCAATCACGTCCCTGACAAGAAGTCAGGGAGGGGCGGATAGGAGAGACGGGGCGCTCTGGCGGGATTTTACGGTACATGTAACCGTTTCTCATGGAAGTTTCTCCTCATTCAGGCTGACATTCCTCAATGTGCTGTATGTACTGTCCAGTGTGCGTAAATAATGATTATCATCGGGATTCGTTTTATTATGTCAAACTCAGCACAGCCGAGTCTAGGCACCTGCGGATAATGCCGGTAGAAAAATTGGCAGAATTCGGTACTTTTTCTGGTAAGTTTCATGCATGTTTGGTATGTGGATAAAGAAATGGAGCAGAATTCGAGGAATTGCCCGCCAAAAGGTTTGTATGGTTCTGCCAATTTCACTGCTTTTCGAGCAGAATCTGCCACCTTTTCGAGCAGAATCCGCCGGTGCCTAGCCGAGTCCCTTCCACCAGAATGTTACACAATTTAATACACATGCACATGTTAGGCTCCGGCGGATTATGCTCGCGAAATCATGGAATTGTGCTTTCATGGATTCTCGCATTATGCTCGCAAAATTCTCATATTATGCTTTGGCACGTGGGGATACATATTCACTTTGTTGCACTTATGGAGCCTCAAACTTCGGAAAATCGTGCCTTTTCGTACTTGCAAGTGGCCATTAGTACAACAAAATACATGAATATCCCCATACCAAGATGCATGCTGGAGATCACCATGGAAAGGAGAAAACATGACTTCTTCTAATCATTAGTTGATCTCTTTTGTAATTTTCATTGCCAAATTATTTTGAGTTACCTTTGAAAACTATCATGTTCAACTGGCTTCGTAATCATCATACTCGTCCAACCGATGTCACCCTCACCCTGGGAATAATCAGCTCATCTCTCCCGTAGCTCCACCTCTCCTTCCACCATGACCGAACATCAACTATACCTCATTTGTTTAATTATTAGAGCAATAACCATAGCTTGCACAGTTGATGGTCTCCTCCAGCGCGCTTCTTTGCACACCTTTGCGGAAAAGTTGCGAAGTAGTTGTTTGTGAAAATGAAGAAAGTTGCGATTTCTTCCAAAACAACGGAAAGTTGCGAAAAAAGTGGCGAGCATCTTTGGAAAAGGGCTACTCCGAACCCTTTACCATGCAGACCACCAGCACTGATCAGGTGCATTCACGGTACACAATTGTGTAGCTTACATACTAGAATTGTGGTACAATCATGTAGTTATGCTCCTACCTCCGAAAGGATGCCAAATTATGCTCCAAATTTTCAACCACCAAATTATGCCAATAATTATGCCGGCATAATCCGCCGGTGCCTAGCACATGTACATTGCCATGATCGGCCGTGACAGTTTCCTTCTAGAATGTTTTGTATCACAACACCAGCTAGAACTATCTCCGAGACTTGTCTTCAAATGCAGTTGCAGCTAGGGACCGGCGGATTCTGCTCGAAAAGGTGGCAGATTCTGCTCGAAAAGCAGTAAAATTGGAAGAACCATACAAACCTTATGGCGGGCAATTCCTCGAATTCTGCTCCATTTCTTTTTCCACATACCAAACATGCATGAAACTTACCAGAAAAAGTACCGAATTCTGCCAATTTTTCTGCCGGCAGAATCCGCTGGACTCTAGTTGCAGCTGGTAGACACTGAGTGAGCCACTGCATGGATTATCCGTGACGTTAGCGGCTGCCGGAGAAGAGTTCGCCGAAGTGATCAATCCTGAATGCACACACAGCAAAGCCAACTTGATGCCGAACCAATTCCATCAATATTTTTGTAAGCATGCCTGGCCGGCTGATAACCAGCCTTTATGTGACTAGTCAGGTAAAGCCGGAAAACTATGCAACTGGCAAACAAGTCTCAGTTTTACTGGCCGTCATCATGATGTGCCATGAGATAATGATATAAAATTTAATACAAAAAATACAAGTACTAATATGAAACTCGGGTATTGAGCCAATAATAAAAGTAGAAAGGAAAAGAACATATGGAAACGAGTTAAGTGGTGGAGAGTTACTCTTAACTCGTTTCCATATGTCCTTTTCCTTTCTACAAGTACTAATAGTCTATAATTATCAACTGACACCCTACATTACCAATAGCTGACTGCCGGGCATGGGTGAAAATAGCATGCTGTCCGGAGATAGAGTGCATAGCCAATCCTACTACAGTAAGACCAGATATTTTAACGTCAATTAAAGTTAACGATTGCCGGATTTCTGTGAGTTAGCGAGATGAAATTCTAACGAATTCCGCCTCAAAACCGGCAAATGACTGTACATGTACATGTATTATCGTTTTTGTACATAACAACTTCAAATGTTAACGGATTTTTAAAATTCGTTAAATCGTTAGAGGAAAACATGGATGCAGTGAAAATGAGTGAATGGGATTTTCGGTCTTTGACCACTTGCTGGTGAGCTGATCTACTCACCTCCCACCGCTTTAGGAGCTGCATCTGCGCCTTGATCCTTGAAGGGTGGTGGCGTTCCTACGGATGCGGAAAACCCGGCTTCCAGCCGAGTCTCACGCGAACCGTGAATTTTTTAAAAAAATCGTTAGCATTAAATGTTCGTTAAAATTACTGGTCTTACAGTATACAGTACCGTACCTTTGCGCACCTTTGTATAATGCACACCTTTGTATAATGCGCACCCCCAATCTTCATTGGGGGTGTGCACTTCAATCTTCATTGAAGTACATGCATTTCATATTCGGAGCATAGTGCGCACCTGCGATTTAGGGCCTAAAATAGCACATCTAAAGTGCGCACTATACTCCGGAAAATACGGTAACATGGCGTACCGCAGTGACCCACGCACAGTAACATGGCGTACCGCAGTGACCCACAAGAAGGCAGATATGCCTGTTGGCTTGGTGAATTAAAATTAAAATCAGGGAGTCGTAAAATACCGGTATTTTACGACTCCCTGATAAAATTAAAATACCATACCATACCCACATACAGTCACACATGGCGTACCGTACTGAGTGACCCACATGTTAAAAGCCCATGCGCTTGTACATGTAGATTACAGGTGAGTTTTGCCATATTCGAAATTTGTTGAAGGTCGGTTGGTCTCATAATATAGGCGCGTGCGCTTTTAATTGAGTAACCAGTCTGGAATTTGGAAATGGCACTAAATTCTGTGTGTGTAGATGGCAACATAGTGGTGCCAGTGTGTCGCGGGATTGAGTTCACCTTATAAGCCCATGCGCGTATACCATGTATGTGAGGGTGCGCCAGTCAGTTATGCCCGGGTATAGGCACCGTGATGCGCGTCACTACGGGTACTCAGTACAATATATGTCCAAGAAGGGTTTGTACAGTGCACGGTCCACTAGCCGTGACATGACATGCACCTTCAAGGATGAATGGTTGCCGCCTTGAACCTGCTGCGTGTACCATGGTGTACCCCCGTCACTTTTTAGTTAGCCGGCCTGGACCACAACATGCCGGCGCATAACCGTGCCCCACCTCCTCACCTACAGTACTGCTCCGAGAAGGAAATCCAGTCGCATCCCTCAAGTGCTGCGGTGATGTGCCGCATATATCCACAGTCAGTCACATGACGAGAGAGCTTGGAAGCTCAGGGCCCTACGCTATGCTTTTTTGCCTTGATGACCTAGACAAAAAAAAAGCATAGGGATGTTATAAATTCTTTGAAGGGGAAGTTGAGGCAAAAATTAAAATTTCACCAGTTGTAGTCTTCGGGGTGCTGAGTCGAATGGTCTTGGTCCGAGAAAGCTGAGACGCTACCTTCCTACTTGAATCCCAATCGAACTCGCGCACTTCCACCGAAACTGGGTGACTGCGCCCTACTAGATGGGGATTTGTATGCAAAATGTCACTAAAAGCGCCATTTCGTTCTTATAAAAGCACGGATGACCCCGATTGACCCATATGTTGTAGTCTTTTGGACGCTGAGTCGACTGGTTTTGGTCCGAAAAGGCTGCGATGCAGCGTTCCTCCTGTATTCCCAATCGAACATGGTTGAACAAGCGGTCACGTGCTCCTGCGTACACCAGTCACCTGGTCACCGTGCCTGCAGGGTACAACTTACTAGCCTGTTTGACCTTTTTTGGGTGCAGTCCTGTCACTCGAGTTGAACTCGAGTTGAACCTTGGTGTGAAAGTTGTCGCCTGCTGGCGTGGTGACCAGGTGATTTGGGCACCCAGGAGCACGTGACCACTTGTTCAACCATGTTCGATTGGGAATAAAGGAGGAACGCTGCATCGCAGCCTTTTCGGACCAAAACCAGTCGACTCAGCGTCCAAAAGACTACAACATATGGGCCAATCGCGGTCATCCGTGCTTTTATAAGAACGAAATGGCGCTTTTAGTGACATTTTGCATACAAATCCCCATCTAGTAGGGCGCAGTCACCCAGTTTCGGTGGAAGTGCGCGAGTTCGATTGGGATTCAAGTAGGAAGGGAGCGTCTCAGCTTTCTCGGACCAAGACCATTCGACTCAGCACCCCGAAGACTACAGCTGGTGAAATTTTAATTTTTGCCTTAACTTCCCCTTTAAAAAATCCCTTTTTTTAAAGACATAACCTGGGATTCGAACCCGCACTATCGCGCCCTGCATGCATCCCCCGATACACCTCGCATACATACTAATTCTTCCAAGTTGCTTCACATTATGATCTTGCATTTGAAAGCCCTATTTGAATATGCATTGTGGCCAGCCGTCTTTGATGGTACGGTACGGTAGGGATAGGTACGGGACAGGTACGATCGAGGGTAATACGACACCGTCTCCCGTACCGTACCATCAAATACAGCTGGCCACATACAGCTGCCCGCAATATTCAAATAGGGCTTTCAAACGCAAGATCATAACGTGAAGCAACTTGGAAGAATGGGTATGAATGCGAAGTGTATGGGCCGGTCTTGGTCGAGCGGAATCGGATCTTTGCGTCATAATACCGTACACATCTGAGGGGAACCCGGGGAGTCGCGGGTACTCTTGGATCAAAAACAATGGTGCCCTGCCTCGAGACCGGCCTTGCGCTGGTGTGAAGTGTACGCATGACATCAGAAGATCCGATTCCGCTCGACCAAGACCCTACACAGAGCTGGATCGGCGTTGCACACTCTGGGGGTTATGTACTCTTGGTCTTCTGCATAGCTACGGGAATAATACGGTTTTATGTGCTGCCTACTTCAACCGTTGAAGCGTCCACCAGCCTGGGCTGTAGAGTAGTGTAGTTGCACAGATTATACTCCCCCCCCCCCCCACCACTACCAGAAGAGCGAAACAATAAATAAATTTTCATTCTGTGACGGCTCACCCTTTTCTGACAGCATTGTTACTGCGGATCCTACATTTTATTCATCATCATGATTCGACATCGACGTCCGTTTTTATCTTCATCACAGACATCAGATAACACTAGCACTAGCATGCAGTTCATGTCCAACGCTGGGCTGTTCTTCAGTACGCATGCGCATTTGGTGGAATGGCAACAACACTACTTTTGAAGTTTTGTAGACTACCAGTCACGCCACTGCTCGGGATTTTCCCAGCACTGATCACCTGCCTGTGCAGCAACAGGGTTGTGCCGACGAGGGGAACTTTCGATGATGCATGAATGCTGCTATGAATCAGCATGATTTTGGGAAGCCCAGCTGGCCAAGCCAACTCCTAGTCCTACACAGAAAAAATGCGCAATCTGCAGATTCTGCACAATGCACACATCACCAGAATGCAGATCACACGTGATTCGTGATCGTGAGCCGGTGTAGTGGTGACTCGGATCGGGTGAGCGACGCGACGGACGCGTACCGGCGCGGTGTATACTGTAGTAGTATACTGTATAGTGTAGGTCAACAGGTACTATACTAACGTAATCGTTTGTTACTTCATGTGCAAGTCCACGATGGTCTACGTAGATCTACGTCTAGGCCAAGCTTTGGACCCATGCCATGCCATGCCATGGTGAGCAAGACGCGCCAGGTGCACATGAATGATGATTGCATGCTGTAATGCACTGAGTCCGTGCAGAAAGCGGCCGCTTTTCTCTTTATCCTGTCAAGCTAACGTTTTGGTTTAGGGAGAACGAGCATTTAGAAGCACTAGTGGCGGTGCTGGCTGAAAAGCCTGAGCCTGGAGAAAGATGAGTTCTATGAGCGGTGGCTCGCAGCCACTGTGCAGTTGCTGCGATAGCGGCGGATTTGTCCCTGAAGTCGACAATCGTCACTTGAGCCAAGGTGTGGGCGCAGCGCAATGCCAGTCTTGCAAACACACGGCGATATCTCATCGAAAGACGGTAAGTATTTCGGTTGCGTCCAAACCACTCATAGTACTGGATGATTAGTCTCAAACATACACCTCCTTCTAAATGAACAAGTCCGCTATACTAGTGTGGGCTCCGCATCGTACACTCTGTCTCCCTTCGAAATACAAAGCTGGATGCACTCCTAAAATGCGGATGGTGTAGAAATTTTGACTTTTCCAGCATTACTAGTATTCCTGTTGTTGTGTGCCTGCTTCTGGTTCACTCTCACAGGAACACATCCCTTACCCGACAGTGCGTCCGGCGCAACCTTCCCGACCTGCTCTTCCGCAGGAGACTGGCGTTTACCGTGAGCAGAAGCAGCAGCGATATGATACAACACAACCGGAGCACGCGTATCATCAGCGACCTGGTGGGGAACGAACACCATCAGTAATGCCAATTCCGGGCGTTCAGCCAACGAGTGTCTTTCCTGGCAGCGACCCCGCGCATCCTCCAGGCAGTGGCAGACCTTCATATGACCGTCCAAATGAAGGCCAGCGGCAGGGAGCACCTCTGCCTCTGGGAACATCAAATGGCATAGAGCAAAATCAGCAGCAACACCATGTAGTTGAAGCTGGCTTTACACCACGACAGCGCGTAGAGAGCATGTACCGCACGCCAGAGCAGCATACTAGCACGCAGTCTCGCAGAGAGCGAGCCAAAGCACTGGTAACGCTCATGGATGCTGACGAACGCTACAAAACGGTCGATATGGATCAGCTGATGGAGGCCAACCGTGAGGTAAGCTCAAGGCGTATTTCATATTACCATAATGCCAGAGGAAACGGTATACTAGTAGTAACACAAGAAACAAAAGGCAAAAACACGTAAACGCTAATTCCGATTGCTTTCACACTCAGGTCAACAAAGTTTCGCTAAACACATAGCAAATCCACAAGCGATGAAACACAAGTTGAGTAAGCCACTTTGCGAGGTCTACGAGTATTTGCTGTTTCTCCAGCCGCTGGCACATGGTAAACCGTACAAAATAATTAAAAATAGTTTACGAAATTATCATCAATGTACTGTCGTGGACATGGAAATCCAGTCGAATCACCGGGGTCGGCGGCGCCCTCAGTGCGTATAGAACGTCGCATGCAGTGCACATGTTGATCCGATGCCACCATCGCGCTGCAGCACATAAATGAATGGGTGCATGGTATACGTACGACTGTATGGCCAGCGGCCTGGGGCCGCTAGGCGTGCGACTGGATTTCCATGTCCACGACAGTATTTTGATTTTGCTAATTTCATCTCTCTAGCATACATGCTGGATAGTAAACTGTTATACATGTTTTCAGATTCTTGATCGAGGCCGGCTGCGGCAGAAATCATGCACGGGGTCGCAAGGTCTCTTTCTCCGTCCTGCTGCCCTGATGTAGTCGATTGTCTCTTTGTCCCCCTGTATCATTTGCCCAATATTTATGTCTTTTACAAACCTACTGTAGCGGACATGGAAATCCAGTCAATTGACCGGGGCCGGCGCCCTCAGCGCGTACAGAACGCTGTGTCACATTTGTGTGTTTCCTTATTTCTCGCAACTGCTGTTGACAGACCCACCATCAGCAGTATGGTACGATCATGGCTGATGGTATGGATGTCCTGGAGCGCTATGCGTTCAACTTGCTGCGCGAGACCAGACCGGATGGGTGGCGAACAATACGATGCAGCAACACGGTGTACAAGACACGGGTATGCCTGCTGGATTGTGCTCAGCTTTTTTTTTTTTTTTTTTTTTTTTTTTTTTTGCTTTCACTATGTTCACAAAACCTGCTCCAACTGCTATTATGCAAATGGTATGTACCAACAGTATCTTTTCTTTATGTGTAGAAGTAGTGTGGTGAATTCTTGAGGAAATACAGGGGTCCAGACTCCACCACCACCACCGCCACCACCGCCACCACCAGGGGACTGTCTGTCCTCACAATACTATTTTATTGAACTATTAAGCAAGGACAACTAGTTTATCATGACCTGCAACTGCAAGGCATGCATACATGTACCGTGTGAACAACAACAAGACCAGATGCATGCAGCATGCGCGCACTTACCAGACAATGTGCCGGACATCGACATGGGACGCACATCTCTGGCAGTGAAACATACCTACTTGGCGGGTGTACATCTACGGCATAGGACACGCACTGAGCGAAGTTCACTGCATCTCCAGCTCTCCTGTACTGTGGCACAAACACGTGCTGTTGTTGTTGCTGCTGCTGCTGCTGCTGCTGCTGCTGCTGCTGCTGCTGCTGCTGCTGTTGTTGTTGTTGTTGTTGTTGTTGTTGTTGTCGTCGTCGTCGTCGTCGTCGTTGTTGTTGTTGCTTTTCTCGTTGTTGTTGTTGTTGTTGTTGTTGTTGTTGTTGTTGTTGTTGTTGTTGTTGTCGTTGTCGTTGTCGTTGTCGTTGTTGTTGTTGTTGTTGTTGTCATGTTAATTTCTTCTTCCCACCGGCAATAAATGAATTCCCTGTACACTATTTATTTGGTCGTGCTGTATCTGCAGATATTACCAATGGTGGGTGCGCAGGTTTTTCTAAACATCCTCGGCTACACACAGGTCACAGAGCAGGAGCTCTCCTTCCCGCCCGACACTATTCCTAATCGGGCCGTGGTCGTGGAACTTGCCGCCGACATGATACTGGCCTACGCGGAAATCGAGCTGCGCATGCAGGGCCTTTGGTCCGACGTGGACACACTGATGTCTGGTCAGCCTCTGTCCCAGCCTGGACACCAGCAGCAGCAGCAACTCAACCAAGCAGCAGCGCCTGGTCGGGGTGTGATGGACTCAGCGCAGTTCCAACGTGGTGCTTACCTTGGCACAGACCGAAAGGCAGCACCGCAACCCACGCTGGATCCACCGCTACAGCGGCACCAGCAGCCATTTCAGCAACAATACCAGCACCACCAGCAGCAAGCCTTGCGACAGCAGCCTGTTCAGCAGCAACCTCTTCAACAGCAGCCCCTGCAATATCAACCCCTGCACGAACAGCCCCTGCAGCAACAACCCCCGCAGCAGCATCCCCTGCAGCAACAACCACCGCAACAGCAGCCCCTGCAGCAACAAGAACAGCCCATGCAGAAACCATATCCGTTTGGTTTTGTTCAGCCACCTGCAGCCACAAATGCTGGGGAAGCACACATGCCAGAAGCATTGCATCCGCTTCCCGCTACCCGGCAGGATTCCCATTTGCCAAATTTCGAGGTTCAAAAGCCGATTCCACAAGGAGACGTGCATCCGGAGAGGTTTAGGAACCACCAATCAGATCTGTCTTCCTCCGGTCCACAGCAGACTGGAGCAGATAGCAGGCAAGGTACAGCACACTATCAAGAACGCAGCGAGCCAAAGGCACTGCACGCACACCCACCAGCGCCAGACAGGCAAGACCAGGACAGGTACCAGTTGCCACCTCTGGACATACAGTCAAACCAGCAGATGCACCAGCAACAGCAGAGTGGTGCCGAGCAGCATCTTCCAAGACAACCGCAGCATTCCAACCAGCAGCACATGAGCTCGGACCCTTTGCACGAAAACAGTAGTTTGCCTCCCGGTGTCCCTGGGCAAGCTGGCAATATGGCCAGCTCTGCAGCAAGCAGCAGTGGACAGGAGCTGCTTAGCCAACAGTCCAGTCCATATCAACACCTTCCAGGTGCCATTGGCAGTCAGAATCATCCATTGGGAGCATCTGGTCGCATGCAACTGCCGAAGATTGACCTACAGAAGTCAGCTATCGGCTCAGGTGATAACCAAACTGTGTCGCTCATCACACCGGATGTAATTGGAGTGGTCGGCTCAGGGGAGGCCTTTCCACAGACGACGGCGCCGAAACAAGTGCCTGTTGCTGCAGCTTCCGAAGTAGCTGCTGAATACGGCACCACGCCCCGCAGTGGAGAGAGTGTTCATCGACGAAGTTCCGGCAGTTTTCCACAAACACCTACTACTCCTGCTACTCCAGCCAGCAGAACCTCTTCTCGTCCAACAAGCAGTAGCTCTGACCGTCAGATGTGGTCTGCGCAGCAGCAGCAGCGGCAGCATTCTTCTGATTCATCCTCGTCTCCCGCAGCAGTGACAACACCCCAGGGTGGATTCCAATCAACTCAGCGACCCATGTCGGGACAACAGCCGCAGCAGCGGCAGTATGCAGGACAGCACTCTGGCGTCATGCCTGCTACACCGCCACAGAGGTACTCGTCGCGTGACTCTGGGCCGCAGCACCCACATCAGTACTCCGGTCAGCAGAGCTACTCATCCGGCGAGTATCCATATCCGCCACGCACCAATATGTCTGGCCCGCATTCAGCGCAGCTGCCTGGTGGCATACAGGCACAGCAGAGTGCTGGAACTGAGCATGGTCATCAGTCCGGCGGACATCACTCCAGCGGTCATCAATCCAGCGGCCATCACTCGGGGCCGAGGAATCACTCTGATCAACATTCGGGCTATCAGTCAAGTCACCATTCCGGACCAATACACCACTCGGGACAACACCAACCTCACTCGGGACAACACCAACCTCACTCGGGACAACACCAACCTCACTCGGGACAACACCAACATCACTCGGGACAACACCAACGTCACTCGGGACAACACCAACCGCACTCGGGTCAACACCAACCTCACTCGGGCCCGCATCATTATTCTGGCCAGCTCCAGCATGTTGAGCCTCAGCCGCAGCGTGTCTCTGGACCACAGCAGCACTACCAAGAAGGAGCTACAAATATCCCCGGAGCTGTGCCTTCGGGAGCAGGACTCACAAGCACGGGTGCTTCGCCCAGCGGCCCTCAGGCTGCGGCAGTGCATCAACCGTTTCCGGGACCGGACCAGAACAACTTAAACATAGCCTCTGCAAGTCGTGATGGTGCGTATGCTGGGCAGCCTGATGGTTACTCACAAGATGCAGGTCCTCATTCAACACCTCACTCTGGCGAGCACCGGCGATTTGCTCCTGGTCAAACTTTGAATGAACCGAAACATGTTACTACTCCACGTAGTGCTTCGGGCAGCAAGCGACGCCCTCCCCCACCTCTTGGCACTGCCAGGCCTTTGACCGTGGAAGGTTTGAATCAAGGTGCAGCTGGTTCGCTGAAGCCTGATTCTTCTAGCAGCCTGAACCAGTCCATCGTCCTGCCTGCCAGTAGACAAGATCCGGGTGTTATCGGTGCAGCGGTAACGCCATCACAGATGGCTGCCGGAGTGGACCTTTCCACCCCGGGCGCGTCTGCTAGCCGGCCGCACAGCCGGTCTAGCGGGAGGGCAGAGCCAGTCCAGTGTGCAATGTGTCATGAGAACGAGGCAACCTTCATGTGCAGCAAGTGCCCCCTGAGTCCGTTGTGCGAGCGCTGTGACGAGATCATGCACAAGCCCCGACCGGATCACCGGCGTCAACGGATAAGCCGTCCTGGATCGACCCCGTCCCAGGGTAAGCCAGTCTCTGAGCTGGCTTCTCGTTGATGTGCCGGTGTTAGGTAGATCGCATATTCATAGTCAACATTGTTATCCATTGTGGGATAGGCTGATTCTTTCCTTGCGGTAATGTCTACACTTCATGCATTTGAATTTGTAC